ACATGGGTCAACCAGGAACATTCATCTTCTCCCTCTGGCTTCTGATCATAGGTCCCCAAGCAAACTGATTCCATCCTTTTATACCAAAGAATTACACAACAGTTGGCCTCCAGGTTGCTCCAACTTCCAGCTGGTGCAGCACTCTAGACTCCTTACAGAAGATTAATTGTAGGACCATTTTTCATCACAGTTGGAATTTAGGATTTCAATAGGATTTGGCCTCTGGGGATATTATTTATTGAATGTAATTGTATTGTCACTATATGAATGCATTTTAGCCAAGGGAACAGATCCAAAAATATTGGAAACATTTCATAAGCTTTAATTTAAAACAACAAAACAACGCACTCCAGTTCTAGGATTTACATACTAGTCACAGCTTCAGATCTCTTAGAAACAACCTCAGGAAATGCATTCTTACTGTAAATATCCTCGGCAGATGTATTTATACAGAGTATATTTTTATCTTGCTGATTCTTTATGTATTATAACCTGACTAAGAAGGGTAATTGATTTGTATAACTTCCAGACTTGAACCAAAGTGTTCTTTATTATGGATCAGCTATTTATTATTTATGTATTTATCTATTACTAAGATTATGCCTTTTTATTTATAATTGTGAACCAATAAAATTGTTTTCCCAGGCCTTGGCATTCCTGTCTTTCAATTAAAAGCATTTTGTTAACAGAAAATTGGGTGCACTGTAGTAATAATACCCAGCTCCTGCAGAGTGCTGTGCAGCAGTAGATCCCACAGTGCTTTACAAAGGAAGTCCTTCTCATTATTCCTGATTTTACAGATGGGGAACTAAGGCACAGAGAGGCAAAGTGACTTGTCCAGATCACTCAGCAGGCCAGTGGCAGAGCCAAGGATGTTGAGAGCCGGTCTTACACTCTAGCCTCTAGGCCACACTGCCTCCCTCTTACATTGCAAAGCTGCTTGCTTTTGGATCACCCTCACTGCATTTCCAAACGGGCAACTAAAGGCCAAAGAGAGCTGTGAATCTTGTCTTTCTCCTTCCTTTTGGCATTACCATTAGAGCTAGACAAATGTTCCCTGGGGAGTCCTGACCACATAGCTGGTACAGGAGAACATGACTTGTTGTCAGGAGTAAACTAAAAACAGAAACAGAAGGAAAACAGCAAGAAAGGTTGCAGACAGAAGGAACACAGCAAGAAAGGTTGCAGGATCTCATCAACATGCCACTCTTCAATGCCCCAGAGAACATCCGCTTTGACAAACCTTCACAATGGACAGGCTGGAAACAATATTTTGCAAGATTTCACATTGCTATCAAGGTCCATAAAGAAACTGGAGATATGCAGGTATCTTCTTTCATGTATGCTGTGGAGACACAGGCAGAGCATATCTCTAAATCCTTTTCATTTTTACTGAAGACAGTCACAAACATGACTATGCAAGAGTTCTAGCTAGCTTTGATACATTATTTAGTTTTCATAAACCACTTATCTCTGATGTATAGAGAATTCAAGAGCCATGGGAAAATGTTGACTGTTTCATAAGAGTTCTGCATACTCTGGCTGAAAACAATGATTATGGGAATGCAAAACATGAAAATAGACAGGCTAGTTATTGCAGTAACTGATTAAAAACCTTTCGCAGCAGCTACCATTGAAAGATTGAATTTTAGCCACAGCTATTCAAGTAACAAAGCCATCAGAGCTGGTGAGACAGGGAAACCAAGAGCAACTCTCAGAACTTCAAAAGCAAAAACTAGCTTAGAAGCTGTTAACAGATGCAGCATGAATATTAAAAGTTATTCCCAAAGAGCTTCCTGACAGATTCAGCCTACGTCAACAAGGGACAGGGACAGATTCTGCCTACGTCAACAAGGTGTGGAAAAAGTCATAGTCCAAGAGATGATGCATGTCCAACCAGAGATACACGGTGTACTAAATGCACAAAATATAGACATTTTGCACCTGTTTGCTGCACCAAAGCAGTCAGGGAGCTGACTCATATTACAGACAATTAAGAGCCATTCTTTCTGGGATCTATCACTTGTGATGATATAGAGCCTGCTTGGACAGTGAAAGTGAATATTTATGGCAAGACTGTTGACTTTAAAATTAACTCAGGAACTGACATTGCAATCATCTCAGAGGGGACCTACGAGCACCTTCAACCCCTCACGGAGTTAAAGTCACCAGACACAGCTCTCACCTAGCCCTGGAGGTATTCAGAACTGGATGGGCCAGTTCGCCACAGAAATAACTTACAAAGACCAAAGCTATGCATTCACAGTCCATGTGATCAAAGGATCAAAGACCAGTAACCTCCTCAGCCACAGCATGGCAGCCATGTGGGCCTAGTGAAGAAAAGTAGAAGAACTCAATGAAGGATTTGATAACCCAAGGCAGTAGTGAAGGAAATCTGGGGGAAGTGAGTGCACCCATGATTCTCTATGCTGGTGGAGGGGTTCAGGGGTAGGAAGACTCAGCTGGGTCAGGGACTGCCCTGCCAGGGGCACAGAGAAAATTCCCTTGCAGCAGAACCAGCCAGGTGGCAGGAAGTGCTTAGAAGCTCTGCAGTGAGCCCAGGGAAGAGGCTTAGAGAGAGCAGAGCTGAGACACTGGGAGCCTGGCAAGAGGCTGAGTCAAAGGCCCACGACAGGGCCAGGTAGGAAGCGGTCCAGGGAGGTCACAAGGAGTCTGCGCAGTCAGGCCTTGGCTGCCTATCCAGGGATAGCAGAACCCAGGGCGAGGGAAGGCCTGTGCCCCCCTAGCAGCCCTCTCAGGAAGGTGGAATGGACGAATCTGGCGTCAGATCGAAGGCCCAAGGTAAGGGTGACAGGGAAGTGTTTGTTTGACCGTTGGTTTATGCCAGAAGGGGTGGGGCTCTATGTTACCCGGGCAGAGGCCATGTCACAGGAAGCAGCAGACCACGGCACCACCAGAGCTGCTATCAGTGGGGGCCCAAAGGAGAGGTGAGCTTGCTGTGCTATGCCTAATGAGTAGGGGGGGTGCACTGGCCAGGAAGTAGTGTTGCCAACCCTCCAGGATTTTCCTGGAGTCTCCAGGAATTAAAGATTAATCTTTAATTAACCATGATGTCATCTGATGAATCCTCCAGGAATATGTCCAGTCAAAGTTGGCAACCCTACCAGCAAGTCACTCTCTTACACAGGCCTGGTTCCATGAAGCAGCCAGGAGAGCCCATGCCCAGCGGCCCAGCTGGAACTGACAGCAGCAAAAAGCTAACAAGATGGCCGAGCTGGTTCTAGTCACAGCAGCATAAATTCTAGTATCAGTTGAATCAGCTCAGCCTGGCCCTCAGAACTGGGACAGCTGGTCACCTACCTGAGCAGCAGAGACGGCTGGAGAGTTAGTAAAACAACAAAAAGTCAAAGGCAGAAAAGGAGGAAAGATCACTAACTCTTCCACCAGCCCCATGTTCACACAGAGTCTTGGATTCAGAGTTCATATGCCATCAAAGCGTAGGTTGCATCAGGGGGTGATCTCAGGCCCACCTCATTGTTAACCTCCGTTCCAGTTATCAGATCTGATGGCCTCCTAGATTTCTCTTTGATCCATTTCATCTGCAGCCCCAACTAGATGCAGCCAGAAACAGTCCGAGATGTGACTGGTATGAAAGAACAACAGAAGAGGCTGTAAGGCGGAAGAGAGAAGAATTCTGCAGAGTCTTTGTCAACCAGCTTCTCTACCGAACAGGCCCATGCACTCACAGCTCAGCTGCAACGATTCCTTACGAGGTCTGGACGAAGGAAAGGGTGCGAGTTCCCTCACCACAGTGGTTTGAACGGTTACAACCAAAGATACATGTGCTAGTTCCTAACTACAGCCACTCCTCATGCTGAACGCCAGAGTATCCTTGCCCTAGGGGCGAGTCAGGCCGAGGCCTTGGCCTGCCCTTGGTAAGCCATCCCTTTTTGGAGGGAAATTAATATTGGCTTCTAGGTCCCAGTCCCACTGGCCACAGTTCAGGCTTGTTGCTGGTGCTTTAACTGGGAGTCTCTGTGAGTTGTCTTCCTATTGGCCACCTGTCGGAGCCTCTGTTGCAAGCTACCTGCTTACAAACCCCTCTTGACACACGGTCCTTATTTATGTCGGTGCCTCTGAGAGCACACAGCCCCTCCCCAGTGGCGAAAAGGAGTCCTTCTCTAGACCAGTGCCCTGGGTCTGGAGTACCTTGGAAAGCTGCTACCTCCGTGCCTCCCCCCTCCAGTCTCTGCTGTTTCCCCCAGGCTGTATCGCACTATTTCTGCAGCTCCCGCTCACCTCCTGCCAGCCCCAGCCTGCTCCCCTGCCACACTCCCATTCAGCCTGGCCCAGCGCTCAGACAGCCTGTGGCTGGCTCTTCCCCCCTGGACCATCGCCAAAAGTGCTTCCCAGGTTTTCCTTCCCCCAGCCCTTGCTTCCCAGGTAAATCACAAACGTGGATCCTTAACCTGGATGTTATCAAGACTGCGAGGGAAGGCTCCCTCCTGGGAACAGTCCCTCTCTGCCCATTGTGAGAGTACTGAGACCACTGTCCTTTCGCCCTTCGCTCATCAGTGATGACTCGCAGAGTCACTCCTGAGGGCGGGGGAAAAAATGAATGAAAGGGCTGCTCGGTGGATCATTACGGTAACACAGCAAATCCGGAAACTGGGCAATGCTAAGATTAGAAACAGAACTCGCCTACTCTAGGCAGGGAAACCTTGCATCATTTTGTCATGATGTCATGCAGAGTTTCCCTCACCTGGGAATCCCTGGTAGTGGCACACGCAGCTCAGGAGGGCAGAGGGTTATGAGCTAGATGCACCTGCCGTACTTTCACTTTCCGGTTTCCATTGATTCCAGCCGTATTAGAGCGTGGGTTTTTCTCCTTCGACAAAAGGAAAACAAGATTTCATTTTATTTTTTCCTAAAGAGTATAAAAGCAAGAGCAATGGAAAAGAGAGGCTACATTCACAGACCAGAGGGAGGCCAAGCAACCCTGAGGAAGAAGACGAGACTAAAGCCATTTCCCAGCAAACATGCTCCAAGGTATGTGCCACGAGGTCTGGGGCGTCTGTCTAGCACATGGGCTTACTCGACTGATCTGCTGTGATCTACTCTAAAGAGTAAGGATCAAACATTATCCGTCCCCCTAAGTCTCTTACCAGTTTATTTTTTATTATTAGTGCTGGGGGCCGTAAATTAAGGGGCCTGATCTGAAAACATTTGTGAATAGAAGAGTTGAGTTTGCTCAGCTGCGATCTTTGGGGTCAAGCCACCAATGTATATATTTGATTGTAGCCCTCATCTTCCTGCACCCCTTCTTTCCCCGCCTTGTCAGACTGTCAAAAATACAGTTTATAATCCTGGTAACCTGGAAATGGAGTGATGTGTGTATTTCCCCTTTCTGATTCAATTAGGAAAAATGATGGCTTGCAAATTGCTCCTTGTCCTGACCCTATGGACAATGTCTACGGAGGCCTTTCCCAAAGGGGCTCAGAGGAAGACGTGCCACCTCTCAAAATACAAGTCCCTGCCACCCTGGGAACTGGAGACCTTCAAGAATGTCAAGGACAGATTTGTAAGTGCAAAGAAGACACATAAGTAGGGCAATAATGGCAATGTGGGTGCTAGGCTGTAGTTTCAACCGCAGCCTTCTCGGCATATTACTGTGGGCAGATGAAATATGCTTCGGTAAGTTTGGGGTGTAGGGTTGCAGACGAAATAGAGAGAAGTCTCTCTGTCTGGATCTTCTTTGTTGGTGATCCCCCACCCAGTCTTAGTTAAGAAAGGGCAAAGCTCAGAATGTTCAGCTCCGGCAAGAGTCAGAGAGAGGCAGAGTCATGGACAGGGCAGGAAGGTGGGAACTGATCTAAAGCAGAATCACAGATTAGACAATAGCAAGGGGAGAATGGCATTCTTACTATTAGAAAGGAGCTAGGAGAGAAAGAAGGGGCAACCTGTCTAAGTGGGTGTTCCTGATTCGAGTCAGTCTAAGGAGGTTAGGGCCTGGCCAGCTCGGATTTCTTACAGAGTCAACCGTTCTTAATCTTAAATCTCAGAAAGTTTTGAAAGGCGTTCAAACTCTCTCCTGAGTTACAATCAAACCTAGAGAATGAGACCCAGTTTTTAACTATAGGCGATCTTTCCCTTCCAAAGAAAACTGAGTCTAGTCCTTTAAACAGACAATTTGAGGAACCCAAATTCATGTCATGCCATCAAGCAGCATTAGAGAGATCAAGTCATTTATTTTTCAGTCGTGCAAACATTCCACGTTAACCAATGCTGAAGCGGAGGAAGTGCACCACTCAGATGAGTGGTCAAGAGTTAAAGGATGCCGCTTCTCAGTTAAACTCCTGCACAAATGCAGTTCACAACCTGAAACCAGCAAAGCAATATGACAAGCGCGTGTTGTTGACTTCTGTGCCATATTTGGCACCTTCTCGGGAAGAGCCAGGACTCTAGTACAGCAGCATTCTTAGGGGATCGAGGTGTTGAGTCAAATTGTGCCAGGATTTTGTACCTTTGCATGGCTGAATGGGGTTATATGATGTAACTGAGGACCGAATTTGGCACTTTCTCCCCTGCTTTGTTTCCTTTACACATTTCCCTGTGTTCTTATTTTGTGCCTCCAGGAGGACATCATGCTGTTGTCAGACCGAAAATGCAACACCAAGATTTTCCACCGGAACTGGGAAGTCAAAGAGCTGTCGGTAAGAAAGACCTCTGCCAAGAGAGACAAAGTTACAAAACAGCACTTGCTTCTTTCCAAGGTTGCCGTAGTGTCTCTTTCTAAGCTGGATGCTGATTTCACGTGATCCTTTTGTAGAGTAACATGGAGAAGGAATTTATTCCCAGATGACACAGGCGTCATCTGAGGTTGGAATCCAGCCCTTTTTCTGTATCTAAATATTGTATACACTTAGGGCTGGGAAGTCAGATATTGAGATTGAGAGTGATCTGAAGCACAAAATGTTGTTGGATTCCAAGGAAGGAAGGTGTAAGCAACAGAGTCCAAAGGGTCATGACTAGCAGGCTCTGTGTACTGAGTGGATTCACACCTCCCTTGCGTCGTAGGTCGTTTCCCATTGGCCACGGCTTTGGAAAGTCTCCTGAAGCAGGCCACTCCTACCTGCTGCTAACACAAACATTCCTTATCTCCCTGTCTGCAACTCCCCTGGACACACTGTTTTACCTGCACATTCTCTCCCTAGGTGCACGACAGAGTGATCCTGGTAGAGACGGAGCTGCACCTCGTTATTGACGTGCTGGAGAACTTTGGGGATCCCAGTCTGTCTGAGCAGCTTGTGAAGCCATTAGAAATCCTGAGGCACATCAGAGAGGACTTGAAGAGCTGGGTGAGTATTGGACTGCAAATGTCTCGTGCCACAGTGGGTCTGGGAATTGTGTATTGAACTCCGAACAGCACTAATTCCTTAAGTGGATCCAGAATCTACTAATCCTTGTGCCAGTAATCGTGGACTTTGGTTTGCACATAACATAGTTGCTGTATGCCTTGCTCAGATACATCATCTAATTAGCTAATTAACTTGATTAACTAGTTAGGGACAGATGATGCCTGGCTGCTCTGCTACTGTGCAAGCAGCTATGTCCCCACTGTCGGCTTCTGGGCTGTAGTTTGGTTCCACTGCAGACACTGTGATCTCTTTCGCACAGCTACTGTTGTTTCCATGTGCCCCCCAGAACATCGCAGTGGAGGTGGGGAGGAACTGGGAGGAGGCAGACCCATGGGTGGCTGCATACACTGAGGGAGTATGCTGCACTCCTGCTCAGCTCCAGGGCATATTCAGTTTCTACTAGGTGGAGTTCCTCCCAGAGCTCCTCTGGGGAGCACAAGGCATACCTCCCCCTACACAGGGCCATTCCCACAGGCCTCAGTAAAGCCCTGAGTTAATGCTTCAAACACTTCTGAAGTTGAACAATGTAATACAAATGCTTGGTATTATTAATAGAACATGGAAGGTTAACATGGAATCCACAAGCGTAGAGAACTAGATAAACTCAATCAAACCAAGATCTGCCTTGGGCTTGTACTGAGAGGAAGGAGGCTCAGCCACTGTTCCTGAAATCTCGACTCATGTGCCAGTCTGCTTCATGGATTGATTTTCTTTTCAGGCTAGACATCAGCCTCACGGCCATCAACGCTCCCAGACACTGACTAAATGGCTCCTAAAATTCCATGCCGCCAAGAAAATGGTGAGTACATTTGGCAAACACACAAGACGAACTTCCATCACATGTTAGTGGGAACAAATCCATACAGGATCATCAGCTCCATTCCGTTCCCATGGGGCCAGTGCAGGATGGTGTCCTGTATATTGTCCAGGACCTTCAGCAGTCTAGGTGTCCTGAGACTGAATTAGTTCAGAAAGCTGGTAAATCTCTCACATCAGGAAGGGTTGTTACATCTGCTGTCAGACAGTAACAGACCAGGCATCCAGAAAACACCCTTTACCTTGTGGCCTAGTTTGGGTCCTCCCATAGGATGCAAATAGCAGAATTTCAGATAAACACGAGGCATCTGATCCTCCATTGCTCTGTACCTTGTACCTTGTGGAATCATTTATATTTGTGCAAAATGCTGCTGACTCTGAAATCCCCCCTCCCTCACACTGCTGGCAGAGCTTTACACCAACTTGCTATTCGCTTTAAAGAGGTGGAGATGCTGGGCTGGGCAATGGGAAAAGAGGCCCAGAGATCATTCATTCGTACAGATCTGCCAAAGCCCAGGCCTTCTTAGGAATCGGATCGAGACAAAGATAATACCTGTCAAGTTGACTGTTACCCCAGATCATTGTGCCTTTTGCTTCATTCAGACTCACTGCTTAATGTAATAGACTACAGCACACATTGTTATATATTTAGAATTACAGAACATTAGAGCACCGTGTAAATGAGTATTTACTTAGGTTCGAGTGTTTGTAAGGTCTTGTCTACGCAGGGACATCCAGGAAAACTAATCTGAATTAACTAAAGATGTGAGTTTGAAGGGGATTAGTTAAACTGCATTAAATCCCTGTATGGATGCTGTTATTCAGAGTTAAAGCGATCTCTGGAAGTGAAGTAACCCAATTAAGACCACTTTAATTTTGAATGAGGGTGTTCACACAGGGATCTAATGCCATTAACTAACCCACTTCAAATTCACACAGTTTGTTCAGATTAGCTTTCCTGGATGTCCCTGTGTAGACACTGCTCTGTTCACCCTTTTTCTGCATGCTCTGTGCTCCCTATCTATATACACCCCCTTCCATCAGGCCTTTGTGCAGTAACTTTCCCTCGCCCAGTGTGAGCCAGCCATTCTCTGTTACAATGTGTTCACTCCCTCTCTCCTGTCCCAGGAGACTCCGGGGTGCCTGGAAGCATCTGTGATCTTCAATCTCTTCCGACTCCTGAACGAAGACTTGAAGTGCACAGCCTACATGGAGTTCTGCACCTAAACGCAAAGTCTTTACACTGTCTCACCTCATGCGTCTAATCAGACACTGGAGAGCCCAGCAAATGGGAACCCTGAATCCTTCCTACAGGACACTGTATTTTAACCAGGCATGATGTTCTTTCTGACTTGGCATCTTACCACGGATACCCATCACCCATGATCTCTGAACAAAAGATTCTGATACAGCTGATCTTCAGGAAGAGATCTCTCCGACTCCAATTGCCAGTAGCTGATTGGTTGTAGGCCAATTCCTTAAGTGCAGCTAAAGTGTATGGCCTGTTCCCACAGAAATCAATGGGAGATTGGCCATTGATTTCAGTGGGATTAAAATTTGGCCCTAGAGGATAGTATTATTTATTGTATTGGTTGATTGCTACGCAAAAATATTTGCCAATAGTATGTTGTGTTGCTGTTATTTATTTTAATTTAAAGGACTAGTTTTTCCCACCGTTTGTTTGATTTACAGACTAGTGACTATTTCATTATTGTCTTAGAAAGATGCTGGAAAATGCAATAATGTTGATGCATGGAAGGTGTTGCTGTATTAGACAGATTCCGAGAATCTATTTTTGTTTTACTGGCTGACATAATGTTAAGCCATCTGATGCGATCCTTATTTAAACAAATCTGATTTGTATTTAAGTTATTTATTGTATCTATCATTTTTATGTGCATATTTATCAAATGGGCTATTTTTGTAATATTTAATGTAAAAATGGAAGATGTAAAATTAAAACTGAAATGATATAAATTGATGATTGACCCTCTACTTGCTGACTGCATTATGTTCTGATCTCATCACCTCCAAAAAGCAGAAAATAGCAAAAGTCATTAAAGGCAGGGAAGTACTTCCCGATGAGGAGAAATTGATTAGCTGGATGGTGAGAGGGGACATAACAGAGATACTTAAAATAATGAAAAGTCTAAAGTTATAGCTATCTTCCCACGATAGCAAATCCCAGGAACCCCTGGTGGCAGGGCTGAATATTATGGGGCCTTTAAATTGGGCAAAAAGCACGGACTCTAATTACTATCCTATACTTATCACAATATATGTGACACACTCTTCTAGAGTAAAATGCTGCTGTTTTAACTGGAGCCTGATTGTAACATGTATTGCTTTTTGCTTCCTTTTTATTTGTACGCATTGATATCCGTGTGAAGACACAGGTCTGGGCAAACTATTCAACTGCTCTTGCAGAGTACATCGTGGCTGCAATTTGCCCTGTTTTTGTCTGAGGGGGATAGATACTGGGGATTGGCACTCGGGAAACCTGGATTCTATTCCCAGCTCTGCCACTGACCTGCTGGAGTGGTGGATGACGTTGGGCAAGTCACGTCTCTGCTCTGTACCATCTGTAAAATGGGAATACTGATACCGAATTCCTTTGTAAAGTGCTTTGAGAACTACCAGTAAAAAACACTATGTAAGAGCAGGGTATTATTAATATTATTATATACACTATTATATAAATTTATATTATATTATATAAATGGACTCTCTGTGGGCTCCTTGTCATGTGTGTTATACCAGCGCCTACTCTGAACTCTGTTGCCCTATACCTTGAGTAGAGATCTACACCTGCGCAAAGTGGGTGTAAATGCTACCAAATCATAATGGTAGTGTTGCACTGGTGTAAATGACAACAGAAGGTGCAGGACAATGGTGACTGGGCTATAGACTCTCTTTGAGCCATCTGGAGACAGTGGTCCAAATTCAAGGTGATATGTAAGGGAATGCAAATTACACATTTCTAGCCAACTGTGAATCCAGCTGGGTCTCAGGGAGTCTGAGTCTAAGGGCATGGCTACACTTGCAGATGTAGAGTGCTGGAAGTTAAACCAGCCCTCGGAGAGCGCAATAGGGAAAGCGCTGCCGTGTCCACACTGACAGCTACAAGCCCACTGGCGTGGCCACATTAGCAGCTCTTGCAACGCCCCAGAGAGCAGTGCATTGTGGTCGCTATCCCAGCATGCAAGTGGCTGCAACGTGCTTTTCAAATGGTGGGGAGTGACAGGGAGTGTGTTGTGTGTATGTGGGGGGAGAGAGAGTGGGGTTTTGGGGGACTGAGAACATGTCAGCATGCTGTCTTGTAAGTTCAGACAGCAGCAGACTCCCCCTCCCCACTGCCTCTCTTTCTCGCACACTCCCAGCAGCAACATTCCACACGAATTGTTGCTTTGTCCCGGAGCAGATAAGAAATGGCACTTTGAAAGGGCATAGCCACATTCCTACAGCTGAGTTCAAAACAAGGACAAGAGTGGCCACTTGATTTAAGGGAATTATGGGACGTTTCCAGAGGCTGATCACAGCGCAGTCATGCAACACCTCGTTCACACTGACGCCGGGGCATTTCAGCCAAGGTGCAGCAAGCGTTATGCTTCTCATGGAGGTGGAGTACCAGGAGCGCTCCAGCCGCAGAGTCCAGGCACTCTAAGTGCCTTGCCAGTGTGGACAGGTCATGAGTTAGGGTGCCTGGGGTTGCTTTAATGCGCTCTAACTTGCAAGTGTAGCCAAGCCCTAAGCTTTGTCTGTATCTTGTATACTGAGGGGGCCAGAGGAGGACACACATCATCCCAGCTTAGATTCCCTTAAAGCTTCCTAGATTCATTATGAATTTGGAGCATAATATTCATTAAATCTGTGTATCGTCCAGGAACATCCTGTAATTCATAGCTATGTCCAACCTAAAAGACACACACTATGTAAATCAGTTCTCTCTCTCTCTAGGAAAGACACCCACACACATGCACACACACAATTAAAATGTCTTCGAAGGCCATGTAAAAAGTGGGGTCTGGACTTAAAAATAATCAATACTCGTCTTTGATGTAATATATCACAATATTGCATCAGCATAATGGAAATTCATATCCACTGTGCATATATTTTCCTATATATTTAGCCTAAATATTCCTCTTCTAAATTTCCTCTTGGTACTTAACGCTCAGTCATACACACTTGCATGATGCTCAGTAATTCCTCTCCATCCTTGGAGGTTTATAGCCTCCATATATTTGTAGATGGCTGTCATATCTCCCCCAAGCTGTTGCTTAGCTAAGCTGTATGTTTCTAACTCTTAATGGTAGATTGTCAATCAGTCTCCTTTAGGTCCTTACTAATATTCATTGCTCTTCTGTGTTCATTCATCCCTTTGTCTACAACCTTTCTGGCCACAGGGTTCCTGGAAGTGAACGCAGTAGTCCAGGTTAGGTCTCACCAGTGATCAACTCTGCTCAGTGATGTAATACCTTGATATAAATAGGACAAACTCAAATTGGCCTCTCTTTCACTGCTGTACCGCATTGCAGACTTGAATCCAGTTTGCTGCCTGCTATCACCCTTGGATCACTTTTCGGATTGCTTCTTTCCAAGTCTCTCTTTTCCAGTTGAATATTAGTATTTCACTCGAGTTGTCCCTAGATGTGTATAGCTTGCATTTCAAAAAATTGAATCCCAGTTTACTTCCTACTCAAATCTCTAGGGCCATTTGTATTATGTCTTTGTCCTCACTAGTTTTCACAGCTCTTCTTTGTTTAATAGCTGCAGATTTTGTTAATATACTACTTCCTCCCTTTTTCTCTATCAATAATGAAGATGTTAAACAAGGTTTCAATCTTCCACTGATTCTTAAGACAGAGCTGACGCTAGGCATAAGCAGACTGAGCAATTGCTTAGGGCCCTGAGCAACTCAAGGGGGACCCCTATTAATTATTACAGGGGTTCTCAAACTGTGGGTCAGGACTCCCAAGGCTGGTGTTAGACTTGCTGGGGCCCAGGGCCGAAGCCCAAGCCCCACCACCCAGGGCTGAAGCCCAAGCCCCACTGGCCAGGTTTAAGGTTACAGGTTCCCCTGCCCAGAGCAGAAGCCCTTGGGCTTCAGCTTTGACACCTCCCCACACCCTGCCCGGGGTGGCAAGGCTCGGGCGGGCTCTGTCTTCGGTTCCTCCCCCACTCCCCATCCCGAGGTTGTGTAGTAATTTTTTTTATCAGAAGGGGGTCATGGTGCAATGACGTTTGAGAACTGCTGAATTATTAGAATATGTTGGAGGGAGGGAATATTCCTGCTTAGTGACCCCAATGCACTGGCTTAAGACAGTGTCTTAAGACACCCCATTAGACGATTTCTCCTAAATGGAGGCACTACCGTTTATCTTTATGGCCATTGGCTAGTTTACAATCTACATGGCAGTGCGTGTATCAGATCCATCCGGAATTAACTTTGCAAAATACATATTTGTGAACAGTTGCGTCAGATACTAAAATCAAGATCTGTAATTGCACCTGCTACATTTGCTAATCCTTGACTTCTGCCCAAAAGAAAGATGCATGGCCTCATTTGCTCTTGTTACCAGCATCCTCTAAACATTGAGAGAGTTTGTTTTTCTCTTAATATGTTTCCTTCTTTTATATAGCCACCTTCCTTTCCCCTTCCAATGGCAGATCAAAGGGTTGCCTTAATGAGGAGTACAAAGGCAGCTGTGTGACTGAGTAATGAGGATTAGGAGCAAGATCAGTGGTCTCACACTGCATGGCTCTTCCCAGATTCACTCCCCCCTCTTCTCCCCTCCTCCACAGACCACCTGTCAGACAGATGGATCTGAGCTTGGTCCCCACCTGTCTCTGCATTTCTTGTGGGAGGGGGATGAGTACAAATTCATCCCTGTTTAATTGCTGTCTCTGGAGAGGAGATTCCTGGGTGTTTGCCCTATTGTCCCCAGTTGGTGCCAGTCTTTGGGAGGGCATAAGTTCCTGGTGGGTTTGTCCACCCTGTTCAGTATCTTGTAGCAGCCTGTACAGCCATGTAATTCCTCATAGACTCATAGACATTAAGGTCAGAAGGGACCATTATTATCTTCTAGTCTGACCTCCTGCACAATGCAGGCCACAGAATCTCACCTACCCACTCCTGCATAAACCTCTCATCTATGTCTGAGCTATTGAAGTCCTCAAATCATGGTTTAAAGACTTCAAGGTGCAGAGGATCCTCCAGCAAGTGACCCACGCCCCATGCTAAAGAGGAAGGCGAAAAACCCCCAGGGCCTCTTCCAATCTGCCCTGGAGGAAAATTCCTTCCCAACCCTAAATATGGCAATCAGCTGAACTCTGAGCACGTGGCCATCCCTGTCTGTTGTTGCCATGAGAAAAATGGAAATGGATCCTCTTTGAGGTACAGCAGCTGTGAGAGCTGGTCCCCCTGCAGTCAGGGAAAGACGAAGGAGGTTAATAAGCCCCCACCATCTTAGAACAAATTACATTTTTGTTTTCTTTTTGCAATGCATAGATTTTGCCCCCACAGAATGCATAGGGCTCCCCCTACACCACCAGAAAGCGGGAGGCGTGGGGGGGAAGAGAGAGGATTTGGAGTCACAGGTAGTATTCAAGGTACAAGGTATGCCCCCTTTGCACCTACTCCGCTTTGCACCTCTTCCTAGATGTATGAAACCAGCCTCTGCTTTCACACATTCTCAGCATCTCTAACACTTTCTCTTTCCCCATCTGTTCACTAATTTCATTGATATGGCATATGGTATGAGTGAGCTGGTTGCTCTTCACTGGTTTCTGGCTAGCTCAGGGGTGCCCAACCCGTGGCTCCGGAGCCCTGCAGCTCCTTGCATAGGCACCGACTCCAGGGCTGGAGCTACAGGGGCCAACTTTCCAGTGTGCTGAGGGGTGCTCACTGCTCAACCCCTGGCTCTGCCACAAGCCCTG